CAAACTCCACCAGACGTGGGTTTCCTCCCTCTGCAGGGCACAGCCCTCCACCCCATTCCTTCCCTCCTAGCTGGCCGCTGCTGCTCTGGTGGGCAGGGCACACCACCCTGCTCTCTGGCTTTGACACCCATAGAAAAGCTTCTTGCCACAAAAAGCTGGGCCTTTGCTTTCTGCTTTTTTCTGCTTTTTCCCCCCCAGGTTCTATAGCAGAACCACGAAGTGCTGGCTGTGTGCTTTTCCCCCTCCCTTATTGGTAAAATTGACCAGAGTTCTGAGAAGTTCCCCTTCTAGGTTCCCAAGTCACAGGAAGGATTGTAAACCTGTCGTTGCTTCCTCACCCATCCCTGGAAGTCATGCCTGAAAAAGGGAAAGCAGCTGGCTGGGTGGGGAAGAGAAGAACGGAATTCACCAATCGGGGGTCACTTTAACCACAGCCCAGATAGAACATCTGGCCACAGTGGAAGAAGGGGTTGTTTGAACTGGCTTCATTTCCAGCTAGTTGATGCATGAGAATAAGGTTCTCTGACTCAGAAATGTCAGATATATAGAACTATCAAGTTCCTGATCAGTCTGGTGGGATTCTTGACAGGGCTTGAATTCTGTGGATTGTTCTAGGCAGAGACTAGAAGACACCCTTGATGGGACCTTGATGACATCTAATTCCTGACCTATAAATTGGTGTGCATAGATCCATATTGTTGTTCTTCTGTCCAGAAAATGTAATTCATTTCAGATAGATGGTGGGGGTGAAAGCTTCTGAGATTCTTCTTATCCACCGAGAAATGGAGCCAAGGAAGCATCATTCTATGTCAGCTGTGAAAATGTTGGCAGATGGTGGAGCCAGGCAAATACTGTGGCAATGCCACTGATTTGAAGATACGTATTTTCTCTAACTCTGAAGTATTTGTGAATAAATACCAACTGGCAGAGACTGAAGGCCAGATGTGTTCTGGTATCATCAATGCTGATGTACAGGGCCCATTTTAATGCATCTTTATACCCAAAAAGTAACTTTTCCTTAATGCGCTTGCTTCTCTTTGCTCATGGTCCATACTGAACTCCCTCTTTGCAGTCATTCTCATTTTTGGAGATCCCAGAGAAATCATGAAGAGTTTTTATCTTTAACCATCACTGGCTTCCTTTACTTGCATCTCCAGAAGTCCATCCTTCATATTCCTGACATTCCTAGCTTCTTTTCTTGGCCTCTCCCAACATGGGCCCTGTTTAAACTGGTTTCAGACAGGCCGTCCCAATCCAGCGTCTTTCAGACGTCTAAGGCAAAGGCTTCTACCGTGCTCTGCTAAAACAGCCAACAGCACTTCTCTTCTCTTTTCCCAGACCCACATTAAAACATAGCTTAGACCCACCCACCCCCTCCAGTGGAAGGCTGCGTTGTGGAGCATCTCACATCCTACGCTTCAGCTTTCACCAGGAGCATTACACACCAGATCCACTTTCCAAGGTCCATATATACATGTACAATAAAATCCAATCCCAACCTAATAATGACAATGAAAATAGCCTTAAAAAACCTAACACTCCATTTTATTCAAAGCAGCTAACTGGAGAAATACTCAAGGTCTTCCCTCGACTGAAGTTTATGTTAAACAAAATGTTGCTATGTGCAAAATAGCTTAAGCAGGAAGTTATCAGAAACACAGTTGTGAAGTCCCAGAATTTCTACCTGAAGAAGGAAATCGCCTCATGAGTGGATTGAAGGAAGACGTGGCTCATTTGAGCAGGAAAGCCAGGCTGAAGAGGGAGGTTGGCGGGTCAGGCGAGCTGGAACAAAATCAAGCCTTGTCCTGTTTCTCTGGATTTATTCTCCCCTGTTATACACACTTGAAAAACATAACAACCGAAGGAACTGCTATATCAGATTCTCCTACATGATTAATGAAATTGGGGAAAAAGTATGAGGTTGTATCTTGCTTTTTCCATTTCAGTTTACATCAGCTAGGAAGACCATGAGAATGGTGAAAAGTACTGTCCTTTCTTTCTGGACGTGTCATAAAACAGATATAAGAACTTAGACTCCCATTACATCATCATCATCATCATTGTCATCGTCACCATCCAAGCCAGTATTTAGCGTGCGTTGCCTTCTCCAGTCTGGTGACCTCCAGATGTAGAATTTGCAGGATTGTCATCTAGCTGGGGGTTATGGCAGTTGTAGTCTCAGCACGTCTGGAGGCATCAGGGTGATGAAAGCTGTTCTAGAACAATTCTCTTTAAGCCTTTCTACTTAAAGAAATGGATTTATAAGGAAATGCATTAATATAAAGGCTCTGTCTTACAATAAAGATAACTTTAATATGCATAATTTCTTCTCTTTTTTTCAGAAAAACTTTTTTAAAAAATCAATACTTCATATTCTTGTGTTGGTGAACCAGTCTAGGTTTGATTTTCTTTTACCACTATATCTTTACAATGGTGTGTTGATTTTTTTCTTGAAAAACCTTGAGACAGATATTCTTACGATCAGACAATTAGCTTATAAAGTCATCAAATATGGCGGAAGTGAGAAGAGAATTTGCTGAAAATGCTTACCTGCTATTCAACCTAGGAGGGGCTCTCACTGAGTCCATTTGCTTTTTCCACTATCCATTTACTTGCACTGCACTGTTGCTTCTTTCAGAGCACTTATTAATATTTAATTCCCTGTCCCAAATTTTAAAGCCATTAGAGTGCAGTCTCCGTGTCCAGCCAGACAGAAACTCCACTGAACTCAACAGGGCTTCTGAATGGGCAGGTATAAGATTGCACCGCATTGTCTTTAGACTCCTGAGCACATCTGCAGCACGACCCTGTAAACGCACACTCAGAAATTGTATTCACTAACTTCAGGAAGCACAATTTGCTCACTCGTGGGAGAGAACTCACTTTCAAGAAAAACTGCTCCTGTCAGTGCACGTCAACGTAGCTGAGACTCACTCTGTACGCTCCATATCCCTAGAACAAAATATCGGAGAAATGGCATGGAAAACCCTTCATGGTTTAATTTGTTTTCTCCTAGCAGTTTTTTCACTCACTTCGGAGACGCTGGATGCAGGCAGACCGAGCCAAGGGAAGAGAGTTTCACACAAAAAACCCAAGACAGACTAAGTTTACTTCAAGCTCTTTGGTTAGACCCCTCTTTTGTTGTGCTCCCTCTTCTTTGAGTTGCTGCTTTCCCCGGGAGGAAGGAGCCAGAAGAAGTGAGGAACTTACAGGAAAGCAGGGAGATGAAATTGGCTGCACAGTGAGATTTTAGGAGGAAAATGAGGTGGGAGGTGCAGATGAGGCCTTGCACTAGAATTCTTTACCTCTTTGCGAGGAAATAAGCCTCACGGGACTTAATGGGACTTAGTTCAGGGTGTATTCTATTCAGGGACGCACAGTTAGTTCTGCAGTTTCAAAAGCTGAAAAACTCATAATTTATTCCCACCCGCCCCCCTTCTCTCAGCAGTCGGTGGCACCTGCTGGATGGAAGCATTATTGCTGTGATTTAGTATCTCCAATAAATTCAGCAGGAATGCAGTGTTACTGAACGTGTGACGTGCCACCTTCACCAGACAGACTGCAAAAATCCATGCATGAAACAGTCACAGACCCCCAGAGTTTTCTGCCTCTCTCCGCTGCCCGGAGGGCTGTCCTGATCTGGGCGACCCAGACAAGGTAGCCCATCCTCCACAGGCCTTCTGGACCTGTGGCACCCCGTGGCGTTCACGAGAAAGGCCATCTCGCCTGTGGAAAAGCACCTGAGAGGGAAGCGCAGCGTAAACAGCCGGAGGAGGGAGCCGGGGGAGGGTTCTCCGTCCAGAGAGTCATCAGCAGGGGAGTTGCTCGGGGGCAGTGAAAAAGGCTTGGAGTGGCAAGGTTGTGATGAAATCACAGGGCTCTAATAATTAAAGTGGAAGGTACACAGGGATAAAATGGGACTTAAAAAAATAGTTTGCAGCCCTATCTTAACTGTTTCCTAACAGAACCCATGATCTTTCTGGCCCCTAAAGGTTTATTTAGTTGTACTCCACAATCAGTCTGTATGGGATTGTTGATTAACAAAAAATGCAATGCCATAAATTTTCGTAATCAGAGCATCGACTGTCAATTTATTTAAACAAGACTTAAAGCAATATATACTTTAGAGTATAGCTTGCTTGCAACTTTATCTCATTTAAGTTGGTGAGAGTAAAATGTATCTCAGTCCTGCTGGTTTTGTTCACTTTAATCTGCTGCCCACTCTACAAAGTTCTTCAGAAATGCCTTCTAGTTTGTAAGAGTTACATTATTAAGTAAAATACATAGATGTGGTTATACAGATAGAGCGAGGACATAGCAACACTCCTTACAAAATAGGCCAATTCTGTATATCGCTGATTAATCAGAATGTAAACGGGGCACCTCTGCCAAAGGGAGGGGAGCATCTGGAAATATAATCACGCCACTGGGCAGCCACATATGAGAGTCACATAAATGTATTGGATATACATACACATGAATAATATTTGCAAGATAGATAGGTAGAGATAGAGATAGTGATAGATTTGTAACTATTTACTGTAATAATGATATACAGTGCTGCCTCTAGTTACGAACGCCCCTCCTTACGAATTTTTCAAGATACAACCAGCTCCGGCCCCAAAATTTTACCTCTACTTGCGAACTCTGCCTCTACTTACGAACCGGATCCG